GAAGCTTTGCGGATAAAATACAATTCTTTTGTGGTTTACGCTCTTCCAGGTGCACCTGTGAAAGCTGCCCCCAAGAAGAGGGGCACTGTTGCCGTGACATTCCGAAAGTAGCCGGAAAGATTGTGGGGAAATGTATCACAGACGGCGCACTCTTCAGACTCGTGTGTTTGGACGAGAGGCTGCTCAATATAGCCTATGAGCAGCTCTCGTCTTATGAGCCCATTTATTTCGAGCCAGCAGCTAGGGACCAGAACAAGTAAGACCAGTTTTTGATAACAGTTATGTTTTAATGCACTGCTTGCCTGTGAAATCAATTCTCGGGTAGTATATATTCCAAAGGATAGATTCCCCCCTTGATAAATCTGTTTCGGTACAAAAACACTTTAAATCCTAAATAGGAAAATCATTGGGTTCTGCCATGTATTATGTTCATGTTCGCCACGTATAGCGAACACATCCTATTGAGCTAAGGCAACAGCGGGTGTACCGAAAACGCTGGCGGGGGAGAGCGAGCCACGGAGAAGCACCACACGCCTGTAAAAGAACAGACTGGGCATGGTCTGCGACCATGCCCAGTCTGTTTTTTTCCAAGCGTGCAGGGCTTGATTGTAACCTAACAGTTAAATAAATATATCCTGCACTGTCCCAAATTAACCGGCACATCAATTACACTGGCAACGAGGATGAGATCCATGCAACAAAGGCGGATATAAACAACTGAGCGACAAAGGAGACAGCGGTAACGTGAGTGATGCCCGATCTCAAACCTAAAGAATGCCTCGCATCGGGAAAATTGAAGAGTTTGATTATAAATCGTACTTATGGTCTGCGTATGGGATACGGTCCATTCGTCACATGCACAGTTGTCACAGGACGATTCGTCACACTGGAACATTCATCATATAGGATGACTCGTCACATGGCCTACCGGTCCCACAATAGTTTGTTTCCCCAAAAATGTATTGTTCAATTTTGCTTGGGCGGACAAAGTGGCTCACCTCATATCTTAGGATGTCTTTGGCTCCCGAAAGGCGAAGAATTTGTAACAGACATGTTAGCTTCTGGTTCTGACCCGAACATTGAATGTTGGTTCGACCTGACAAAGTGGGTCACCTCTTAGCATGTCTTTCGCTTCCCAAGGTCAAAGAATTTGTAACAGACGTTTTAGCTTCTGGGTCCGTCCTGAACGTTGAATGCGGAGGCCATATAAGAGCGACTATTTTTGAACTCGGACTACATTCAAAAGGATGGAGGTGATCGCAACAGAGAGGGTAGAGCCATGATGCTGCAGGAGGGGTACTCGTACACATTCAGCAGAACGAATTCCGATACGTATTGGTTTTGTCGAAAAGGTGTATGCAAGGCAAAAGTAAAAACCAATTTGGCTGCCAGTTGGATTATTGCTCAATCAAGCCAGCAACTGAGATCAACCTGCTGAAGACTCGTAATAGAATGCAAGGAAAAGCGGATGATTATTGCACAATTAGTTTTTTTATCTACTGCTTTATGTAACAGTGGGAAGTCGTGAAACTCCTCATCAGGGAATGTGGGCAGTTGTTGAAATTTACTATCGTCCCCTGCCCGATCGATGTGACCAGTTGCCTGCATGACGAGTCATCCTGTGACGAATATTCCTATCCGACGAATCGTCCTGTAACGATTGCGCATGTGGCCGTTCGACTAGGGTAGAACCACATCGACCTGATGCCCAATCAAATGGTTGAATGCTACAAATTCCATCACTGGAAGTAGTTGGAATTCGAAACCATCGCAGACTACGTAGCTGCACTCAAACAGCTTTCGCTGCAATGCAACTTTGGTATTTCCCTCCACGACCGACTTCGAGACAAGCTCATTATTGGCATCAAGGACGGAAACATTCTCGAAAAACTGCCGGTTGAACTGACACCAACATTCAAGGCAGCAGCGCATCTTGCCACTTCGATGGAGGTAGCCATGAAGGATGCAAAGGAAATAAGGAGCGAGGCCAAGACCCAACAAGATATCAATCGCTTGGTGCAAGGACAAAAATACAAGACATCATTTCCGAAAAAAGCAAGCGAGGGAAGAGGAAAATCTTGCAGTAAAATGGATAGGTGGGCTAGTCGGTACACGTTTGACGTGTGAAGCGCCTAAACAACGAGGCCACGAGTAAGACGAGACAGGACCAAGCGCAGCGCTTGGTCCTGTCTCGTGTTTTTTTGGCGCTTCACAAGTTGAAAATCTTGCACAAGCAGGACCCCATGTCACCGTTGCGGCAAGACCAATCACAACCCTGAAAGCTGCTTTGCAAAGAACACGGCTTGTAATATGCGGAAGAACAGGACACTTCCAAATGGTCTGCCGTGACAGGAAACGAGATCCACAAGACTCAAGAAGAAAGGACAAGCCAAGCTTTACCAACCATGTCACTACATAAAACTCGGAAGCCGAAACTCCGTTTTATTTCATCGACTCAAGCTGCCCGAAATTCATCACAGTACCTGTGGAGATTTGCAACAACCCTCTTCAGATAGAGATTGGCACAGGCTCACCCGTGACTGTGATCAACCTGGAGGCGTTTCAAGAGATTCTTCCAGACATCCAGTTGAAACCTTTGGGAATAACGCTGAAGCCATACAATGGCAAGCCCATCATTCCAGAGGGAATGGTTCAAGTGGAGATGCAGTAAAACGGGCAAGTCATGCATCATAAAATTCAAGTGGTGAAGAAAGGGGGACCTCCCACACTGGGACGGGCATTGCTTCAGGATTTTCAAGTGAACTAGAAGGAAGTGCACAACGTGCGCGCAGAAACCTTAACTCTCGCAAGAGTGCAACAGGAACACAGTTCCATCTTAGAAGGTCCGAGAGCTGATGAACTATGCCATGAAAATCGGCGTGAATGATGATGCTCAACCAAAGCTTCTCAGACCAAGGTCAGTTCCATACGCCCTCCGACAAAAGATTACGTCTTGAGGAAAAGCACATAATCACTCCTGTGATGAGGAGTGAGTGGGCGACTCCAATTGTTCCAGTGATGAAGGCAAACGGACAAGTTTGCTGGCATATGCGGGAATTACAAGGTTACACTCAATACTGAAGATCTCTTTGTGAAGACTGGTCATGGAGAGAGAAGTTCACTAAGCTGGATTGCAGACAAGCCTACTTCCAGATCCCCTGAACAGAAGAATCAAGAGATCTCACAGTGATCAACACACATAAAGGGCTCTATCAGGTGAACAGAGTGCCATTTGGAATAACCCCCAGCATCAGCTATCTTCCAACGCATCATCGAAGAACTCATTGGGAACTTAACATACACAGGTGCCTTTCAGGATGACATTGTGGTAACTTTCAAGAACGATCAACATCACATATGGCAAAAACTCAAGGGAAAGAAAAATGCTGCTTCATGCAGGACTCTATCGAGTACCTACCTAGGACATGTTGCAGACCAACAAGGAATTCACCCAAATCCCAAGAAGGTGGATGCTATCCTACAGGCGAAGACGCCCAAAGACCAAAAAGAACTCTGGGCATATCTGGGGCTCCTGAACTTCTACGGAAAGTTCATCAGCATCACATGTTCATTACACTGCATTGCTTGTCTGTTCCCAACATGCACCGCAGTACGTGATTGTTTTCGCAAACTAATGAGTGTCTGTGGGCATACCATTTGCAGAGCATACAGATTTACAGCCTACAAGCAGTTCGTGTGGTGGGTCTGGGGGAAGCTGGGCCGTCACCGCCGTGTCAGGCTCCCATGCTGCGTGGTCGGCAAGATCCGGGAGCGATTTCCATCTGCAACATATAGGGGATTCCAGTATTGTTGATCACTGTCCATGCCTGTACCTGATCTATTATATGCAGCATGTGCACAAACGCTCTCATCCCACTTTGAATGGTCCACAAAAATCGGTTTCTCAATGTATTGCACTTGGATTTACTACAAAGGTGCACAGAGGGAGTTAAATTATCATCAAATAAACTTGCCTTGTTCAAGTAATAAGAAAAAAGAATAACTTGTTTCGGGCAATCTATGAAGCCGTTTTGCGGGTGACCCAGGCGGATTTTATTTCTTGAACAAGGCAAGTTTATTTGACGATATTTTAAATTCCTCCCGGCATGCACTGCTTAACCGCACCTGTGTAGTAAATCCGAGCTGGATATGTTGAGAAACCGATTTTTGCAGACCGTCCAAAGTGGGATTGAAGTGGTAGTGTACACGCTGTATAAACAAAAGAGTTAAATTGTCAACATTGTACAAGCCGAGACTTCGGAAAAACAAAACAAAAAAGGGACAGCACAGACACATTTGAAGTTTGGGCTATTGGGTAATTCATGGTTAAAAAATAAAAAAAAAGTGCAAGGTCATTCTTGTTCGTGCCTTTCCCCTGCTTTTAATTTTTAACCATGACATATGAGCTAGCCCAAACCTCAACTGTTTCTGTGCTGACTCTTTTTTGTTTTGTTTTTTCCGCAAGTCTTCAGTTTTACAATGATGAAAGTTCATCAGCTCGCTGGCATCTGCCCCATTATTTCTACAGTTAAATTATAATTGCTTACGGGACAGAATAAAGAAGTTGATTTTGAAAGGTTATAAAACATTCATTCATTTCAGAAATAAAGCAAAACTGTCAGTCAAACTTGTGTACACATATTATGCAAATTCTAGCTAGCATACAAGTTCTTTATTTATTCAATAGTAGAATACACTCAGTTAATTTGTCATCCGTAGTAAGAATACTTAATTTAAAATATTGCCAATTTCCTCACCCATGCCTAACATTGGCCCTGGCGTTGTTGAGTGTGAAACCGGGTCCTGTGGGCTAGGACTGCAGCTTCTTTGTTCGGCCTCTGGGATGCACTGCACAGGGGCTGCCTACGAGAGCAGGGAACATAGGCGGTCTCGGCCTCCTTGTAGGTGGGGACGGCTTCCGCCAACTCCAGGCAGCAGCTGAGAAGCTTGTGGACATAATCTACGTAAAGAATGGTGATGATTAAACCCCAGTCATTCTATCAATAAAAATGTTTCCATTTACCGTATGACGCAGGCTCCATGATTTGTTTTACAACCCATTCGCCTTTTCTCGCCTTCGGGTATTGGAGTGCATACCGCTCCTTGCTGCCTTTTGTTTTGGCTTGTTTCCGTTCTGAATTTTCATTGTAGTGGAGGACAGCAATGGAAGTCCTGTGAAGGCAATACAGAACAGGCACGATAGTTTGCTAGTGATGGGCCAAACTTTTTCCGAATGGTGTGTAATTGTCTGCTGAGCCTTTACACACATTGGGCAGGGTTGCCGAATCTCGCACACTTTACTTTTGTAAAAACATTTTTTTCTGCTTTTTAAAACATATTTTCTTGTTTATTGCTATTCTACAGGACCATTGCATCAAAGTGATTTTCCTGTGTGGAAATCGTTCAATATTGTAAAACCAATGTTTATACTGAGCCTCCACCAGAAGAGGTAACAATCAGGCACATAGCCAGGGGGGTGGGGGGGCCATTTTGCCCCCCCCCCTTGAAATTTTGCTGGGGCCTCCTCTCCTTCTCCCCCTCATACAGCATTTTTTCATGGGAGGGCCTCCCCCAAAACAAAATCCTGGCTGCGTGCCTGGTAACAATAATATAACTACGCTGGCTCTTCAATTCAAGGCCAGTTTTGCATGCACGTAGGAGTCATATATGTTTGCAATTTTTCATTTTTACCTTTAAAAATGCTGATTTGTGTGTTTAGGACACATGCAAATGTTTAGAAAGGTTGGGAGGATCTGGAGTTTTGGATTGTAAGGTCCAGTACAAGCTTTGTGTTTAGTTTTGTATGAATGACCGTGGAATAAAACCAAAATCTTTGCAAGGTTTTCACGTGTGTACAGATGTTTGCCGATTTTTTCTCGAAAAGTTTTCAGATTCCAAATATGGCCCATGACTATAAATATGTTCTTAGCATACTTCACAATATACAAATATAAAGGGAAACAGTGTGGCATCAGCAAATCACACTATTTCAGCTTACCGTGCCACCATGCCCTCTACAGTGAAGTGAGTTGACTTGGGTGTAAACCTGATGAGCAGGCTGTGGAAAGACTCCAAGCGGTACGTCTGGCCATCTCCAGAGATCCTTGGGATGTCTTTCAAAAGCTGATGCGACATCACAACTTTTTCCAGTGCGATGTATGGCTCAGATCCTGCAGTTAGAAACAGCGCCACATTAATCGCTGGGGCAATGCACATAGAACACTTCCTGGGTCATGTCTACAGTTCCTCTGTGCAAACTCAAAATTTGGCTTTCTTATTCTGTGTGTCTTCATGACATCAAAATAAGTCTGCTGGTTAAAAATAAAAATTGCTGCTATACCATAATTATGGTATTGCAAAATGGCCTAGGCAGCTCATGCATTCTGACATTACAACAGAGAGTAAAGTAAATGCGCGAAGATACACACAATTTAGTCAAAAATTTCTGGACAAAAGAAATACAGTCACACAGGATCCATATTTTCACATATATTAGATTACAAAATTATTGGTTTTCAGCATAAGTCAGCCACACGACGTTGCCACCGAATACACCTCATTCATCAGTGCAAAAGGTGCGTAGAAGTAACAGAATCTGTTCTTTCTTTGCATATGTTATTATCAGCTAATCCAATCAAGAGCAGGCAGTGTTTCATCACCCTCCACTTTGTTTATTACACTTTTTAATCTACCCAAGGTTATGCAGAAGCCACGGCCAATTGAACCACTTCCTGAAACTAGTTCCCAGCATCTGCAGTTTCCTTTTGTTTGCTAATACTAATGTTTGCTAACATTACAAATATATCAAACAGCAATTAGCATTACCTTCAAGAAGCCACCAGCGGTCCTCTATCGAGGCATGGGTGCACGCAGGGTACATCGGGTCAGGGTGCTGGTGCACGTCTACGACATGTCGCATCAACGACTTCCATTTGGCCAGCACCATTGCACCGTTGTCGTTACTTGTTTGAGCACACCAATAAACATGGGCACGAACAGTCTTCACCCAGTTATTCAGGATGCTGTTTCGCTTTGTCTTTCCTGCAGTAGCAAGCTTGCTCCCAATTCCTAGAAATTAGAAAATGTACATGCATGGCAAGCTGAGGTATAGCACTTTGGCATGTGAGTATGAGCATCGACGACCAAGTAAAGTGGACACAGTCAGAGTATGGCAAGTTTGTAAACACGAGTTAGTGTATTTGCGACTCCAACTAATTATAGGTAGCGCCACTCATTTTCCAAAATGGCGGTTATAGCGAGGGTCGGAGATGCGTGTTGCAATTGAGCCTGTCTAGTGTGCTGGCTTCACTGAGCGACACAAATTATTTCTTGTAATACGAGGAAGCTAGGGCGTTATGGGCGCAGGTCACCTCTTTACCCTGAAAACAAGAACGGTGTTTAGCATAATATTTACGCAAGGATGCGTGTTTTAATTCTGGAGCGAAACCGAAACTAATTTCTACTTTAGATTTCATTTCTCAGTATAGGTTTTATTTTCGGATTCTTTCATACCTCAAGATGTGTCTCACATAGTAATTATCTAGTTAAAGAAGTTGTTCGCTGAAACTTTATTTTGTGTTTGTTTCAACGTTTCAATCCAGGCTGATATTTTAGTTGTTGAGAAAATCCCTGCTGATATTTGTGCGTTCTCGCTGCCTTTTCCTGCTCAGATAAATGCCATGGGAAATAATGAACTGCGGGCCTTTTAATGAGCTGTTGGGTATTTAGATGATTAATTGGTTTAACATTATTCTCAGCACAAGAATAAAAGAATAATTCCAATTTTTACCATATGTCCACAAACCGTATAAATTAATAAACATTGTTCTCACTGCAACAACCCAAAGACGCAGTCCGAGTCAGACAGCTGAAGTGTGTGCGTGTGTTTTCTATAGGCAACGGGTGACGCCTAGGACTTTATATTACATCCAGGGTTTGACCGTTTGTCGACCTTGATAACTATGTCAGAGTTTTTCATATGCTAAAAAGAAAACAAAATTATACCTTTCTGGAAAGACTAATATGGTGAAATGGCATATTTTCGTGATCTTGGCATTAATTGGGGGCATACACTGCCGCGAATGGTATTAATAATAATATTAAAATTCAGATATTCTAATATGTAATTTTTTCAAGCAATGCTTCTGATCTAATTTCAAACGCGCGAGCAAATATGACAACCAAAAGTGTGCTAATTATCATCACTGGTGCCAATCGCAGCATTTTTAATTACCAAGTAATAAGATAAAAATAGTCCAAAGTCAATGAAAACATTTTAGCTAATGTGAGAAATCCATGTAAAATTACATCAATTGTGGTTAAAGTACATTTTTCTATCAAAGTCGCGACTTCTGACAATCGGCACAACGTAAGCCGCCACCGAAATCCTTCCAGACCAAATGCCCAAAACATTTTTTTAATTATTAATTTTTTTATAACATTTAGTTACTTTCATTTTTACGCTTGACCGTTTCGCCAATCTCAGCCTTTCCATTTCAAAGGAACGCCTACTTGCTTGCACGTCTGCTCACTGCAGCACGTTTTGTTGGCATTGGAAGCCGGTGAAACAGCAGTGAGTTTTAGTATTATGTATACGAGTGAACGCAAGTGCTGTGTGTTTGTGTTAGCTTTGCGTGTTGCACACCGTGAGTGTGCGGAGCCCAAAATTGCAGTCTTGGATGGCGCATGGCGATGAGGCGCACATGCAACATGGGGCTTACAACTCGTTTGCTTCTATCCGCAGTACTAAAACTCTCCTGTAAGGTACAATCCCATACCGACCGCAGCACTACGTTGGGACAGTGAAGAGTGTTGTTTGCATTCGGAAATGACATTTCGCGAGCCATGATCGCGAGCAGTTTTGCCGTGCCCACTGAGCAGGAGAATCGGGGGACCCCCACTAGAGCGCTTCCCGTTTCCGCTGCGGGAGGGCGAGCGTCGAGCTGGAGACGCGAATAGAACCATGCTGGAATAGCACTTTACAAAACTTGACTATTGAGCGTGTCACACTATACTGATTTGTGACGAGGAGATCCTGAAATAGATGAAATTATACTATAACAGGAAAACAAATTTCAGCATAGCTTGGTAAAATATATTATGCATATGGGAAAACCCAAATATCCTGTTTATTGAAGAAAAACATCTAATCTGAGGTGGTCCCCCAGGGTAGCGACTGCTGAAATTATTTTCTAAAATAAAGTTAGTTACCTTTAGCAATGTGCCAAGCATCGAAACGGTGCTTCGTGTTCGGGTAGCTGTCCTTCATGAGGGCACTCACTCCAAAGTGCCGGTCTGTCACAAGTACATCCGGGAAGAACCCCCAACCCTGGAGGTAGTCGAAAGAACGTTTGAGGCCCTCAGTCTCCATATGGTTGCTTGACTTGACCTCGTTCGACTGATGTAGAAAGAGAGGGTAACAAAATCATTACACAAGCAATGCAATGACCAAAGAATAGTTCTAATACTGTGAAACATTCTTTGGCTAGGTGCTCAGCATTTTGTGAAGCCTGAAAAGTGAAGTGCAAGGTAGCGTGGCTTTGAAGCTCAATGCTGATTGGTATGGGGGGGAGGTCACATGACCAGAAGGGGTAGGCGACGCGTGAAGTAGGCAAGAAGGTGCTCAGCCGCCTGTGCGCACTGACGGAGGGGAGCTCGCGAATATGGAAGGCTCTGGAAGATCGCCAGGTTTATCATTACCAGTATCGCTTCATTCTAGGAACAACTATGAAGTGTACACATGGTACAAATTAAACTTCTGGTGAAGGGTGCTGTGCATGAATGCACGAACGACACCTTCTGGCGTCTTGCGCATTCATGATTACAAACAGAACTCGTGGTGACCTGCGACCCAACCAGGATAGATAACTGGGCGAGTTGGTGAGAGTTTGTGTTGAAAAAACAGCGCTTTGTCTTATGTTCTCTTCGTCGTTGTGTCCTCGTCTTAGTCGCGCTGTTTTTTCAACATGGACCCAACCAGCCCCCTGTGCAAAGGGAGAAGAGTCCACTCAGAAATGCTTCGCATTTAAAATGTATGGCAAATTGCTAGGAAATTGTGTTTCCTGCTTGAAAAAGCAGAGTATTGCAGAACATTTCACGTACGCAACACGATTGGCTAGTACTTTTCCAAAAAATTTTTTAACCAGTATTTACCTGGACAACCTCATAGTGCAGGATCTTGTTGATGTTGGTTTCTAGCAAGCTATAGGTCCCATATTTGGCAGAATAGCCGGGTGAGTCTGCACGGCCGTCACCGGCCAAGTGAAGGCCAGTGCCACAGATTGATGTCAGGAGGACAGTTTGCTCCGTTTTCCAGACCTTTGAAATTAAAAAAATCACAAACGTCAATCTTCACTACAAAGAATGACCTTTTAGCAAGCAATTTTGTAATCTGCAGGTGTGATCACCTTTGTTGCAGCTGGGAAGACCAGACAGCGTTGGACCTTGAAGAACTGAGTCTTGTGTATCACAGCGACACCTATTGACCCCAGAAGGCGCAGAACACGTGTAGGGCTGGCGCCAGAGTATGTTATAGCGGCCGGCAAGATGATGTTCATCAGCGCCTTGCCGTTAATTGTTGGCTGATTTTCCCATACAGTCGTATGGCCACTAACACATGTAGTTACGGCGTGAAGCAGGGTCCCCCGTTGCTTCAGTTTCGTCTCTGTTGGGGCCAGGCACTCCTTACAGATCGAAAACAACTCTAGGAGCTTCGAAGCGCAGACCAGATATTTTTTTTCCATCAGAGGGTCAGCCACCTCAGCAGAGACGTTGCACTCCCTGCGAAAGAAAACAAGCAGTACAGTTACAACCCTTCCAATTTCAGAGTATGTTGTTTTTATCCCCTCTATATTTTTTCCTGTCTTGTTATTTCATTATTTTAGTCACACTTGAAAATAACAAAAAAATACCTAGCTAGATCCTAGTCATAGTATAAAATTATGGTTTCTCAGAAGATAGAAAACACATACTCGTGAGGTCTTCCATCATCCGAGGTCACGGAGTCATCACTGGTGTCAGAAGAATCTGCCCCATAACTGCTGTTGACGGAATCGTTGGGTCTGTAGCTTGTGTCTGGCTCGGTAGACGTCTCCTCTGACTCATTGAAGTCGCTGGACTCGTCGCCGGTGTCCAAAGGGTCAGCCTCGGGTCCCAGAAGCTCAGTTGTGAGATTGAATTCCAAAGGAGTTGGGATTATGCCACATGGAGGCGAGGAACACCACGGGCGTGACTGCCCGCCACCCTCTGGGGAGGTTCCTTGATGTCCAGGGATATCAGCTTCGTCTCCCGGAGAGCTTTGGCTTGTGACTAGCGAAACAAACTAATATTCAGGATCAACATTTCGGCGTACTAAATCTTCAACAAAAGTGTATTGCACACAAAACTCATTTATGGTTACTTCTTTATAACAGTAAGTCTATATAAAGTCACTACATCCACCTACCTGGCAACGTGGTTGACGCCTGAATCTCGACTGAGGTTTCAAAGGGGATTTCGGTCTGCACACCTCTGCTGGCAGACCAAAAGTTTGATGTCTGTGTACCTGGCACATCAAAAACAATATTTAGGATACAGACTAAAAATGGTTCCTACGCAGGTACCTTTTGATAGCACACTTGCATGTGTCTGGCTCCACGCGCTGCATCTAGGTGGTCGGCTCACAAATACACATGTAAATACACTGGAGTGTGCACCAACTTGATCTGGAAGGTGGTCAACAGATTCACTGTGTGATGCTTGGCAATCTCTCTTGTCCAGTTCAGAGTCGTCCTCGGGTGAAGCATCATGCGACAAACTGTTGCACGCTGGGGCTGCGCTGCTGTGTTCTGGTGCAGGGGCAGTGGCTTGGTCCCTGTTCTGCAAGAGTGATACATGAAGTGATAGCATCTGAAGACATTCCAACATGCAGCAAAGTAGACAAAAAGTAGGTAATTGTTGAATTACCCGAGATTGCAGTGAAGACAGAAAAAAGACAAGTCTCAGGTTATTCAACAATGATAAACTTACCACCAGCTCCCTTGCCCCCTTACATTTTGTTTGTCAAAAGTACATACATTGCTAGATCATTCTGCACTTACTTGATTCCGTTGGATGTCAACAGGCTCCCTGAGTGGCATCTTTTGAGCTCCCGTGGCTTCCTCGGAGTTGTCACCGGGCGAAGCATCCGAAAACAAACTGTCAAACGCTGGGACTGTGCTGCTGTGTTCTGGTGCAGCGGCAGTGGCTTGGTTCCTGTTCTGCAAGAGTGATGCATGAAGTGATAGCATTGTGATGACTGCGATTAGGGGGTGCACATACACCGTCGATTGGACCCGATGTCGAAGAGAGACAGTACCCAGCTCTAGGTCAAGAACATGTGGGTTTATCTAAACTCAGGTTGGGTCCGCAACACAGATTCGACAACCACAAGCACTAATCAATCAAGCAAAATATCTGCACAGCAGGCTTAGCAATAACATGCTATTGGTGGGCAGCAACCACAAGTCGCACAATCAATGGGGATCTGTTCAGAACGACCGGCAACGCGAAGCTATTGGTGGGCATAAACACAGGTCCTCTGACTATTCCCGAGTTTAGTTCGGTTGCTCACTCATGAATACCATCCATGTGCAGAAGCCTTTCTGCTGCACTCTGTCATTGCAACAGTCACTTGGCATCTGTTCTGTAAGAGTGGTGCACCATGTGATAGTGTTGGCAGGTACAACAAACAACATATAAACACGAGTACATACTCGTCTAGAGCACAGTGCGGGTGCTTCTGGCGACGATTCATCCTCAAGTGTAGTGTCTGCCGGCAAACCAGACACTACATCTGTATTTTGGTCTCCACTCTGTGGGGGCAATGAAGCAATGCCAAGTGAGTGCGAGCGTATGTGGGCTCGCAGTAGGCACCCAGCTAAAGTGTAAGCAAATCTGCAAGCTCGGTCTTGCAGCTTCGGTCAAACCTGTGTGCAAACTATTATGGCGATGCGCATAGTGTTTGAGTGTGAAAGGGCTCGATAGAAACACGCGGTAACAACCGAAAATACGTACTTCGGTTCGACGACGTTTCACCGATGAGCAGTCTGCTGTTTTGGGACTTGTCTTGCCACGGAAGACGGACGGCACGGCGTCCAGCTTCAACCTCGAGTGCTTCGTCGAGAGACCACCGTCGGCTAACACGCGCAGATTCTTCCCGTAACACTCCGGTAAAAAATGATCCGAACAGACCAACACACGGGCCGTTGGAGATAAAGGCTTCGTGGAGCCCGATCCGTTTACGGCGTCAGTCCAAAGTTTCCGACGCTCGCTGCCGGCGGGAGGAAACTCGTGGAAAAGGACTCCTGGGCTGCTCAACTGGTAATGCGAGCAGTCCGTGACACAACACCGAGAGCCGTTGCTTTTCCGTTTTTTTACAGGCATCGCACCGCACACAAACCGCGCTCAACGAGGCGACGAGGCGTCGGTGGCGTCGGCTGATCAGTAGGGAGCCGGCCGAGCGCGTCGTTCACGTTTCTCACGTCGCACGGCCGCACGGCGCTGCCAGCGCTGCTCTCCCCGGGAAATAAAACAAAATGAAAAAAACATGTACATGCTTGATGACGTCACGGACGCGCCGGGAGGAGAAATTTGGAGGAAGCGGAAATGCAGCCGGGCAGTGTTGTCTGGTCCGCACGTCTCATCCAAAACTAGCAGATTCGTGCTTGTTGAACTTTGAAAGCGAGTTTAATAAACTTCTAGGCGGAATTTCATCTTAATATTTTCTTTGTGGGCTTTGTAGATGATAACAAAGAGAACTGTATTGTTTTGCACTACTAAAAAAAGAAGCGGAGTTGCCCTTTAAGCGCGTTGCAATAATGCGTTAGAGCGTCTACGAGAGTGTCACTCGACGCTTTAATAATACGAACAGACGTCGAGATACCGTATTTGTGCCCCGCTTTGTTGACTGCATACTTGAAAGAAAAGCGGTTTGTCTTCTTACCTGTGGGTTTATTGGTGTTCGAAGAGCATGTTATGTTACAATAAGCTGAAAAAAGGTATTAAAGTGGTTTTGTTTGTTCTCTATAGCGGCTTCAGCGACTTCGCCGTCGCCGTCGCGTTGTCGGCGTAACCGTTTGTTGCATTATGGGACGTTTCGCATTATGACGTCACACGTGACGTCACGTGTGACGTCACGAGGGTCACGGGTGTCGTCAAGTGTGACTTCACCCCCAAGACCTCAAACGACGCCCAAATTCAGCGGGAATATTTCCCCGCTAAATTTGGCGGAGAACTTTTTCTGCCAAATCTAGCGGGGAAATATTTCAGTTAAATTTAGCGGGCCATTTTTTTCGCTATATTCAGCAGGGAAATTCCTTCCCCGATTTTTCTAACTAAATATAGCTGGAAATTTTTCCCGCTATGAGGAGGCGGAGGGGAGGGTACGGGGGGCATACCCTTCCCTCCATACCCTCCTCTCCTCCTCCTCGAGAGCTGCGCTCTAATTCGCCATTATAGGGGGTTATAAACGTTTTTTTTTTTAATTTTTTTTTTCATTATTTATTGTGCGTTGGAGCGCAAATGTTCAAACGGCTCCCACTTTTTTTTTTTTTTTTTTCTTGCTGGGTACGTCACGGTCTAGAATCAATCGCAGCGACTTTGAATTTGCGGATTTATTTATAACCCCGTTCGAGACCAGCACTGACGAATGCGATTGACAAGGAACTTCGATAGACAAAATGTGAGGAGTCTAGTTTCTTTTCAGTCTCTTCGATTGATCTGAGAGCAGCCACCGATTACGACGTGCTTAGTGAACCCGAAGCAGTGCGGCTCACAGACATTGTCCGTGGATCCTTGGAACCGCTGCCTCCATTTAGGTAAGGATGTGAAGTCTTCCCTGGGTAGGTGAACTTTCAACGCTATATACTTGGAGTTCTGCGTGTATCTGACGTGGGACAACTTTGCTGCCGACATTTTCGGGAATTCGCGACTGGAAAAAACATCATCGTAATCCTTTCCGAACACCAGTCAATTGAATATATATTTAGTGAATTAAACCAATGATTGAGGCGATATCAGAATGTTCATGCAATCGTAGGTAGAGGGCTGCACACCTTTCTACCATAAAGACTGCATTATATATCTGGTGCAGTTAAGAATACTAGCGGAAGCTCCTGCCACAAAGCTTACACTCCTTTCACTTTGGCAGAGTGAACTCTTAAGAGGACGAAATAATCAATTGTAGCGAGCGGAGTGTTGTAGAAGCTCTTGGTGCTGCTATTTTGTATCAGGAACAGATTATAACTTTGAAGGCTGATTCATTCATTTGCGTTCGAGTGTAAATGCGTTGCAATCAATTGTGAGTCGTTATGACTGCTGACAACAAAAGAAAACACTAGTGCCATCTATTGCGTAGCCCCAAAGCGCTTACAATCCCCGCGTATTCTTAGGATTTTTACCATCATTCTGTTTGGGAGCCGTGCAAGGGTATTGAGAAGCAATGTTTCTCACCTTACACATGCCTACTGGCACCAAAGTTTGGCCCAAGTATACAGTCGTAGGCGGCGCCACTGACCAAGCAGCCTTTTTGTACACGCGTAATGTTGAGGATAAAGGCGGACGTTTTATTTCAATCTCTCCTTCGCAGCACTTCACGACTAGGTTGTGAGAACCACGTTGTTAACGTTACGAACAATGCGATTTCCAGGATTTTTTCGTCAAGTTTTGCGATCCCCATGGTGACGATAATAGTGAGTTTTAGTAGACCGTGTTTCCCGCTCCGCTAAGCCCCTCCGCTAACCGGAACTCT